GAGGTAGGCAAAATTTCCCAGAAAACCATGAAAGTGATAGCTTTAAGAGACTCAACAGTGACTGAAAAAGGAAAAATAAGCCTTTCTATCATCAAAAACCTCTATATATCCCTCACTTCAAAGGTTAAAAAGACTTTCAGATATTTCACAGTCAGTTCTTCTTCCTTTGGAAACTTTCTTACTGTTGGTATCAAAGGTATTACTTGACTTTTCTTGATCACTAGAAGGCAAGTTTTTGAGTGAAGAGTTTTGTAAACAAAAAGGAAAGGATAAATGTGACTTTTGAAGTCAGATTTCAAGTTGTCTTAATGAAAGTATTAAGACTTTATTAGTAAAGAAGTATAAAAACTTCTTGCAAAGATCTTTTTTGTATGTAGTTAGAGAATCAGTGAAAAGAGTTTTTATGAATCTAGATCTTCTATAAGTATTATAATAGTATAAGAAAATTAAAAGCTTATAATAAAATTAATAATTATTTATAAAGATATTTTTTTAAATAATTGTAAAATTATTTTATATATAATAAAAGTTATAAGACTTTTTAATAATAAAGAATATAAATTAAAAAAAAATAAGAATTATATTTGTATAAAAAAAAAAACTTCTTTTTTAAAAAAGATTTATAAAAAATATAATATACAGTAAATTTTATAAAAAATAAAAAATAAAAAAAAATTCAAAAAATATTTTATATCAATATAAAAATTGATTGATTAATATTTTAATTTTTTTTTTTAAATACTAGTTTATTTTTGCATCAGTTTAGAAGCTTTTATTATAATCAAAATATGTCTTAGGAATAATTGGAATAAGTAATTATCTATACTGTTTAAGGATTTATAGATTAATAAATAGTACAATAAACATCTATTTACATTTTAACTAATTAAGATAAAGTAACTATAGTATATAATTGTTTAGTATAGAACTGTCTCTTAATTTTAATTAAGCTAAGTTATAGATTTTTGGAAAGTCTATGATTCTATTATTTTAAATTTACATATTATTAAAGTAGTATTTTTTAGAACTATGATACACTAGATAGCTTATTGCTATTCTTATTAGAAAAATCAATATTTAAGAACTTACTTAAGATATTCAATACCACTAGTGTTGAGAGTCTTTTATGTAGAATTTTTTTCTTGATCTCATCAACACTTAAAGTTTTTTTAAAAATATGACTTATGTTTAAACCTGTCTTATTATTTATTTGGAGCTTAGTCTTATATCAAGAATATTATATCATTTAATCTTATATCAAGAATATTATATCATTTAGTTTTTGTTTTTATTTAGAAATTATCTTATATCTTCAGTGTCATACCAGATTGAATTCTGTTTTATTATAGATATTTTTAATTTTTTTTTATTATCAAAAGTTAAATTTTCAATTAAAATAATTATTAATAAAAAAGAATATATAATAATAACTTTGATAAATATTTCTCAAAAAATTTTAAGAATGATATTAAAATTTTATTAATAAAAAAATCAAAAACTTTTATGCAAATATTTTTTTATATAGTTAAAGAAATAATAAATAATATATTATACTATATAATATATTTTATACAGTATATTATATTTTTTGATTAATTATTATTCAAGAAATTCAATATAATAATATATTATTAATATTTTTAAATTATTAATTACAAAATATCAAGTTCAATATTACTATTTGATTGAGTTTATGAGATATTTTGTAAATTAATATTTAATTGTCTAAAAATTATTTTAAATTAAATTCAACTATATAAAAATAGAATTTTTGATTTTTCATTAATTAAAGGTTAAAATTTATAATTATATTAGTGAAAAGATTATATAAAAAAAGTTTTTGTTTAAATTAATTATAAATATTCTATAAGTTTTTTTTATCTTGACATATTTTAAAATTCTCTTTTTCTTATTTTAAAAATTTTAATCAGATATTAGACTTAAATAAAAATCATTCAATAAGGATTAATTTAATTTTACAAATAATAGTAAAAAAAGTAATATATATCTCTTTTGAAATTTAAGTAAGTAATACGAAAAAATATTGAAAAATATTTATTTTTGTCAAGTACATATAAATAAGTTAGATAAGTAAGATATAAAATATCTAAGCTCAATATTAAACTAGTTTAAAATAGCTATTAATGACTATATGTTAATTATGTTGATTATTTGATTCCTAATTAGATAAAACAAATTGTGATAAGTTATTATTAATTTTTATATTCATATAGAAATGATACAAGTTATATATTGTAAATTATATTAATTTTTTCAATGAAACGTAATCTAAACATGCCACCAGTTCATCAGATCCGCTTTTCGACCCGCTTCTCCCGAGTGCATTAATGATAACAAAAATTGAGTTCATTATTGCATTGTTTTTTTTAAATACTATTTTAGTTAATGAATTGTCATTACCATATGCATTCCAAAAAAAAAAAATTTTTTTTACCAGTCGCACCAACTTCTAGTGATTAGGTGATTCCTCACTACCGTTAATTTGTCAAATATTTTTTTTCGGCAAAAATTAATTATGATTAACTATATTAAGTATGATTATTAGTTGATTTATTCGCGCACACCACGTGGTATTACGCTAATACGTAATGATGCCATATTAGTAATCTCCTTGAATGTGTCACACGAACGTATTACACTACACAAAGACCCAATAATGCAGGAAATCCTCTGGTCCTTACGTCAGCTGTGTTTAAAGACAGTAGCATGAAAGTAAACTGAATACCGCATAGTACAATTTTTTTTAGAAATCTTCCTTAGCCTTTTCTGTGGGTCGTTTTCGTGGAGCTTAACCCATTTCCTATCCTTCAACATCCGAAGTACTGCAATGTTGCCTTATATTGGAGATTTGCCCGAGGTCAAATCGTTTATCGGAGTTATTTTTGCTGTCACAGGCAATGTAAGTTCTTTCTCACTTAAAGTCTACCATAACATTCTCTTTTTCATTTACTAACTTTAATCAATAGATTTTGATATCTGTCGCATTGAACATTCAGAAAAATGCCCACAATGAGCTTCGGAAGCTTCACCAACTCGATCAACTTGATTATGAGGCGTACATAGGCAATCGTTTATATAGTTCAGAATCGAACACACATAACTTGGATACTACCGATACCGAAGGCTACGAAGTGTTGTTGGATCCTGAACAATATAGCGAAAAAAATTACCTTCATTCTAAATCATGGTGGGCTGGAATACTTTTAATGATTGTCGGTGAGTCATATAGAGCCAATCAATTCGTGCTATATATCACTATTTTGACGTTTGTCTTATCGGATATCATGTAGGAGAACTAGGAAATTTCATCGCATACGCGTTTGCACCAGCTTCCGTCGTAGCTCCTCTTGGAACGGTTGCACTAATTTCTAATGTCATTTTAGCGCCGATCATGCTCAAAGAGACGTTTAGAACTCAGGACTTGGCCGGAATTCTAATTGCGATCATTGGTGCCGTCCTTGTGGTATTAACTTCAAAGTCGGAAGAAGTAAAAGTAGGCGTATTATTAATTGAAAGTTATCCGGTGGAAACTTCGACGTAATATTGAGATCACGCATTTCTTTTTTTTTTTTTAGCTTTCACCGGGAGCAATATGGGCTGCCATAAAACAGCCACAATTCACAATTTATCTTTTCATAACATGCGCACTTGCCGTTTCGTTACTTTACCTCTCTGATAGAATCGGACATAAATTGATAATCATTGATCTATCGTTGGTGGCGATATTCGGTAATGCTTTAATACATCTACGATTGGGATAAGAATAATTTTCCGCAGAATGTATGTAACCTTATTTTAATGCTTTCTTCGATCAAGGGGGATACACGGTTTTATCAACGAAAGCAATTTCATCTTTGTTGACAATGAAATTTGTTATGATGTTTAAGTTTCCCATTACATACGTACTGCTATTAATCTTGATAAGCACAGCGGTTCTTCAAGTAAAATTTCTCAATAAAGCTCTGAAACAGTTTGATTCAACGGTATGTCGTGTTGTTGTTGTTGTTTTTTAATGAAATTCGATTTTCTTTGTTAATGATGCTTATATTTTTTTTAAATAAAAAGGAAGTTATTCCTACGCAATTTGTTCTCTTCACCATTTCTGCAATAACGGGAAGTGCTATATTGTATAATGACTTTGCAGAAATGGACTTTTGGAAATGTAGTAGCTTTCTTTCCGGGTGTTTTATGACATTTTTGGGCGTTTATTTCATTACATCTAATCGAAATAAACCTCAAGGCTATATTCCAATATCCAATCAGGGACCAAATTCTTTACCAGGAACGGTGAGCATTGTCGATCCTTTCCGTCCAATTATTACCGAAACTATGGCCTTTAATATACCTGAAAGGAGATACTCTCAAAGATCTTCGGCCACGTCCATTCCTCGAAGGTACACGTATGGACCGATCAACTCGTCGGCCCCTGCTTTAAACGGAGAATACGGCGCGGTCAATAACTTGTCCCCGAGAAATGATACTTTATTACGGTCACTTGTACACGGAGTGAAATCAAATTCCCTCACTGCTGGTGTAAGTCAAGCATTAAATTCTGTTGGGGCTCGCCATTCACATGCATTAGGATTAGGTAGAACTGTTCAAGATTTATTTGACCTAGCTCGTTATTATTTAGTCCATTTAATTCGATTTAATTTTGTGAACAAATTTCATTGACAAATCGATCTATCATTTTCGAATAGACCAAGTTTTTGAAAATTACCGACTGAAGATGTTAGAGGAACAGAGGAGCGTTCATCGTAGTAATTCCGTTCCAGCGTTGTCGTCCCGTGCGCGTGAATTTGAGAATTATAATACTAATAGATCTAACGCTAGTCGAGATGACGACAGTGAAAACCATGATACAAATTTAACTAACTCGTCATATTTCGGCACTTCTTATACCAATTCCTCCCATTACGACTCAGAATATACAGATTCAGCTCACACTGATGATGATGGTGATGATGATGATAGCAGAACGGTGAGCGGGTTTACAATTTCAACAAATGATAGTAATGCAAGATTTTACACGGACACGAATAGTACATATGATGAATTTTCTGGAATCAGCAATCGTTCCGATGATATAGATGATTTACCGGATCTACCTTTAAGACGTGATTATGGTGGTGGTATAACTGAAAGTGAAGGTGAAATGTGAAATTTCAATAATTCAATTGGACAATTAGTGATTTAAGGAAATGGACCTTAATAATATGATCAAACAATTTCTTTTTAAATTAGCCATACTTTATTATTATTTTTTTTATAAACTAATTTATTTATTTAAAGTCATTTTATTTGTTATACTGTATGTTTAAACTTGAAGAAATAGATAATTCTTATTGGAGGATTGATGTTTATGATGTAACTGATAATGCCGTTCAAATCACATGATAATTTATTTAAAAAATGATGATTCCGAGTTTCCGAATTTTGATAAACATGCTTGCTAGAGTTTCGACGAATAGATTCACCTCGTTACTGTGTAATCGAAATGGTACTAGAGTACCGTTACTGACTAGAATTCAACAGTCTCTCTTGGGTGATTCTTCAGATCTTCTCTAGAATGTTATCTAAAAATAAATAAAATTTGTTGTTTTGCACAATATTATTAACATGTATAATTGGATAATGAAAATCTTTACAACTCATGACAAGAACACGGAAGGGGTTTTGGTACCATTTCGATCGGTGAGTGAGCATACGTGATTTCTTTCTGATAACTATCAAACTCGTAAATTAGAAATCTTATCTAACATTGTCTATATCATTTTCTTGTTTTCCAAAGCGCAAAAACAATTTTTATTGTTAGGCAAATATCTATACCTTTCAACCACGATATATTCATAGTTGGAGATAAATAAATTTAAAATACCTATGCATTATTCTTACAGCAACTGATCGCATTGATTCTGAGGCGCCGGATCGAAGATTATCAGTTAGACCACGCCACTTGGACAACGCGAAGAAAGCGAAACAATCTGGTTTCGTGTTAACCGGTGGTGCAATATTATCGGATCATAGTAACGAAGGCCGTATGATCGGCAGTGTAATGGTGTTTGAAGCTGAATCCGAGGAACAAGTTAGGAAAGCCGTTGAACAGGATCCGTATGTTATTGAAAATGTTTGGGAAAGTTACGAGATCATTCCATTTAAATTGTAAGTTGAACATTTGTAATATGAATTATTCAAAAGGTGTTTGGATTTTTTTTTTTTCACTCATACGACTTTCTGTCATTAATATCTGATCTAGGATGGATTGAATACATAATGGGCAATAATATATCGTAAACGTAAAAATACAATGAAATGTATGTTAAATATATCTCAGAGAATAACTAAACTCCTCTGTTAAATTTTGATTAAGATCAAGAGCAAATTAACTTGATCAGGATTAATTACGTCTGCTAAGCGAATTATTTAATGGCAAATAAAATTGATGAAGTTATTTTACTAATGTATAGTATAATTACTTTAGAATAATTATATTGTAAAACAAAAACAGAGACTTATATTTACTTAAAATTAATATTTATATTCTAATTTCTTCGACCCTAGGACTTAATTGTTAAATACTGAAGTTTTCTTCTTTATGATTAATTTCTTCTATATATTTTAGTAGATCTTCTTCTTTATTAACATGGAAGGTCACACATTCATTTCCATTTAAGAATTCTAGGTATAGTAGATTTCTTTAATTTGCTGATAGCTTCAATAGTCAATACATATAAACAATTGTTTCTATTGTAACTTCTCTTGAAATATTGATTGTTATAATTTCAATTTTATGTTTCTTTTTTGCTATATAGTATAATAGGGATTGTTTGTTATAACTTTTTGTCAATTTCTAATAAAATAGGTATTGTATTCTGCAATGCTTGGGCCCTATACCTTTTCTCAGATTTTTTTTATTAACAACTCTTTTTTATTACATATATGGGCTATTGACTTACTTTCTATTATTTGTTTATTTTCTATGTTCATAATAATTTCCATAGGTTGACTATTGTTTTGTTTTTCTTTATTATTTTCTATATTAATACCTTTGATAATATTCAGGTATTTATCCTCTAGAAACTGTTGTTACAGATCTTCTTTTCTCTTTTTACCTTGTTACCATAGATATATAATATGTTAAATTAGAATATATTCTTTATAAAAGATTGATTTATTCTCTTTTAATATTCTAGCTATAAAATCTAACTATTTCATTTCATACTTTATTCTGTTTTGCAGGACCTGTTTAAATATTGTGTTTTCTAATTATTTTTCTCTTAGTGATATTTGATATGATTGATTTTCTAATACCTTGGTTCTATTTTTTGACTCTATAGATGTGTTAACCTTTTGATCTTGTCACCTCTGTTAATTCCTAACTTTTGTTTCCACTCTATCACTATCTCATATCTAATATTCCAAATTTTCTTTCTGAAGTGATTATTTGTTTTTTTCTGCATCTTTATTATCTATTTTCTTGTTTTTTTACCAATTCTTTTTTCATGACACTTTGAGTCTACTATCTCATCCATTAGATCTTTTTCAATCAGTCTCATGTAGAAGCTAAGTATATTCTGACTAGTATTTGAGATCCTTTTCACCAGTTGAGCTATTTTCTTATCATTTCTTCTCTTTCCATTTTATCATCAACTACCAGACTTATCTCTTTTTTTTTTAACTTCTTTTTTCTATCTACTAGGAGTTTATTGAAACCTTGCATTAAATCTTCCAACCTTTCTGCCAGGCTTCTTGCCACTGAGTTTTATATGCTAAATATTTTAACAAGTGTTCTATTATCTCTTCTTGCTATTTATATACAAAACATTTCATTTGCTTATATAAGTCTGGTCTTCTTGTGACTAGCTTTATTAATGTGGGTAGCTCGTCACTAGGTATCTTAACAAGAAAGTTTTTTCTTTATAATCTTTTAAAAGAGGTATTTCATGTATACACATTATTCATTTGTTCCCAAACTAGATCCCATGTGTACCTATGCTAGTCTTGAATTTGATACACCTTTTTTTGTCTATTCTATTTTGGATTGTCTATTGATATGTTATTATTTTGATATTGGTTTTTTTAACAAACTGTCTTATTGAAGCATCCAATACTATATCTTGTCATTTTATTTCAGTAATAATCTAAGATGAGTCTAGATCTTGCCATTTTATTGTTGAAAACTTTAATGCTTCTTTGACTAGAATGTCTGCTTTCTTGTTATATTGAATATTGGTGTGTGCTTTGACCTTAATAAAATTTAGATCTAATTTTTTTTTCTTTACTAGGCTTAATATTCATATCTATAAGGACCAATTTTATTTCTTTAGTCATCTTTTATAGGTTTTTTTTGGATCCCCCTTTTTTATAGTTTTTTATTTAGAGATACAGGCTTGGCTATCAGTATAGATTTTGACCTTGTTATTAATTGATACTACTAGTAATATAGTTACTATCACTACTAGTTCTGCTCTTATAGATAAAAGCCAATCAACTACCCCTGTTTGGAACTTGTTTTCTCTTCCTGCTTTTCCAATTTATATACATGTCACACCCATTTTCATGTTTTTATTTTCATGATCAACAAGAGATTTATCAAAGTAAAAGATTATTATATTATTTCTATTTTATCTTTTATTGCACCTTAATATTTTAATCAGATGGGTTTAATATATGCCTTCTTTAATATTCTCTTTAATGAGCTTTTTCTCCCAGTTCTCTATTTCTACTTCTTCCAGTTACATTCTATCATATTGTGTAATTATTGAGTCTATATGAATTGTCTACTTATTATTTTCTCTAGGATTACCTTAGAACAAGGGATTTCTAAAAGTTGAGCTTTTCTTATAGATTTTCTAGTATTAAAATAAGAAACCATATATGTTTATTTTACTGTATATTTGATTCTACTATGTATCAGTTTTTAATCTAAATTCCTTTTAAATAGCTCTGGCATTGCGTTAGGTTTAATCTTAAATTTTTCTTGAAGCTATCATATTTAAAATGAACTATTTTAATATATTTTTATTGTTATCTAAAATCAACTTTTTTCAAACAAGTTGTTATTGCTAATTATTGTTCTTAGTGACTACTCAAAGTTTTTGCCTTTTATTGAGATTGAAATTGAATATTGGATATTCTAAACTTTACTTTAACCAATCTTCTTTTCAATACCTTATAAGTTGTCCTAACTTGTTTTCTTACATTTTTCTTGTTATTGACAAGTCCCATTCTAGAATAGGTCCCTTACTTGTCTTTTGTAAGAGTTGAAGCATTCACCAGTTCCATACTTCTCTAGTTTTATAGTTAATAAGCTGATCCATATATATCAACTTATTATATTTAAGTGCTGAAATGGCTTTACTATATTCATTTGTTATTAGATGATCTTTAATTGGACTATTTTTGATACTGCAATTAAAGATATCACTTTATTTCCAGTTATGGAAGGTTATCTTCATATCTTTGGTCAGTTTTGGTACTTGAAATGTGAAGTTTCCTCTTTCCAGAAGATGGGTTAGTAAGTTACATATAAGTAGATTGAAAGATTCTTGGTATTTAATTTGTGATTGCTTTAATCTAATAATTGTTGTAATTCCAACTGGTCCCAAGTTATTTAGCTTATTGCAAAATCCTATTATCTGACTTTCTTTTTGTAACATCCAAACACTCTTTAAATTATAAATCCTAGGATGGTATACTATACTATTAGATATGGATTGGTATAGTATAGCCTTATTTTTTAATAGCTTTTTAATATGTCATTGTCAGAGCATTATATATTCACCAGGATAATATACTATGCTGCATTTTGAATTTGATTCTAAATATTAGGACTCTATTCTGAATATAAAGTGCTTGTTTGTTAGTTAATCTTTTGTTCTTTATAGACTTGATAATTATATTGATTTCTTTAAGCATCTATTCTTTGAGTTTGATGACAGATTTCTGGTTACCTATCCAGATTTCCAGGAATCTTGTTTGTTTAGCTCTATCCAACTCTCCAACTACTTCTTTGTCAATTCCTGTTTGGATCTTTTTTGAATATTGGTTAGGGTTGTTAATAGTAATTAATATTGATTTGCTACTATTAATCTGTAAGTCATTTACCTTATAAAAGATTCTTTCTTTTTCTAGAATCTTTTTTATATTCTCTTTGAATCTTGCTATCCATATTATATCATCCATAAATGCAATAGCTGCATGCCTTGACTCTAGCTTTCTTCCAATGTTTCCCTTTAACTCTGGATCCCAAGCCACCAATATTTTGTAGTCTTTTGTTTCATTATTCTAAATCTTGCATAATAAAAGATCATAGAATATATTTTATATTAGTGATGAGATAGTTTCTTTTTGATCAATTTCATCTTCTGCTATGATTATCTCAGTTAAATCTTTTTCAAATATAACATTAAATTCTTGATTTCAAAATAAACTCATTATGATTTATATGAAACCTTCTGGTATCTTAATTCTATTAATTGCCTTGATTAACATATTCAGGCCAATAATATTATATGTTTTTGTCATATCTTGAAAAAGTATTTATAACTTCTTTTTATTTTTTCTTGCTTTCTCACAAATATTATTGAGAATTTGAATTGGTTCTGCTATACTTTCTCCTGATAATCTTACATAATTAGGTCCTCTCAATATATTGTTAATTTTACAAATATTTCTCAATTTGTTTGTGAGAATCTTGATAAAGCATTTTCATGTGATCTCTAGCAACCTTATTGGTCTAGTGTTAAGGAGTTCACATCCCATGGTTTTGGCTTTGCTTCTATCCTATTGAAATAATTTCCTATTTTAAAAAGCAATTAAACATCTTTCTAAGATATTCTTTTTCTTCTTGATCCAGTCTTTTTAGCATTTCATAGCTGATTTGTGATTTCCTTAGGGTTTTATTATTGAAAAGTCCTTGAAGTATTTTATATAGTTCTTCTTGAGAGATTGGCATCTATAGATCTTTGTACTATCTTTTTTTTAATATAGCCTTTAAGATTGTATTCTTTTTAATCTTCTGTAAGGCTATCAAAATTGACATTTCATTTTTTGAATACCTTATGATGATATCTTCTTATTTCTTTTTTGATTTTTCCCTTCTTGATAGTTATATATTCTTTTTCTTTATCTTTAATTTTAATTCTATCCAGCATTATATT